ACTGGTCCCCAAAAAAAAAAAAAAAAAAAAAAAAAGATGGTACTGGACACCGTTAAGGGGCATTGGTCAAATAGCCAGTGGCCGCTGTACGGACGAGCTTGGCTTAGGTTTTTTTTTTTTTTTTTTTTTTTCCAAAAGGGCGATGGCCTTGGGGTATGAGGTATTATCATCGGTCGGACTAACCAGTCCAATCGCTGCCCCCGACGACATTTTATGGGTGGATGTGTTGTGCACAGCGTCAACTCAATATTGTGTCTAATCTGTGAGTTGTTGGTACACCCATAAACTGTTGAAAAATGCAGAGCTGTGCTCGGATCCAAACATGAGCGAAATTCCTGAATCACCTAGTAGGTAAGGCCGGTCAGATTCACGATTATTATTATTATTATTATTATTATTATTATTATTATTATTATTATTATTATTATTACAGTATTATTATTATTATTATTATTATTTTTCTCGAAGCTGTCGCGTTTTTTTATGATTTAAAAAAGCAAACAAAAAAAAAAAAAAAACAGTGGCCGATGTTGACTCGTTCGTCTGCCTGTTGGGCCACACAACCTTTTTTTTTTTTTTTTTTTTTTTTTTTCGGGGAATCCACACAACTTCTGGGAGGAACGGGGACGTTCGCGCAGACGACGGTAACGAAGAGACGGGTGCTCCCGAGCGGGGCAGTTAGGGATTGACAGTTCTGTAATTTCTCACCCACGGTGGCTAGGTACATTGGTAATCAATCAATTCAATTTCAATAATAGTTAAGGGCAAAGAAAAAGGCAACTGCCCGCCTGCCGCGCGCGCCAGCGAGCGAGCAAGCGGTCTATCTAACGATTGAGAGAGAGAGCAACAGGGTGGTGGGGGACCACATCGTGCGGTTGTGAGAGTGCGTGGTGTCTGCATCTGTGTGCTAGCAATCGTGACCGTGGGGGAAATGGGAGAGAGGGAGCGTTGATTCTTCATCCGTTGACGTCGACGTCCCATCCCCCGCCTCTCTCTCTCTGTCTCTCTCTCTTATATGTATATATAGCAAGCCTTCCATAAGACAGTGGTTGTGGAGAGAGAGAAAGTGGAAGGAGAGAGACGAGGGCAGAGGAGTGTAGACTTTACCGAGATCATCGCTCCGCTCCAGACAATTAACGTGGTCGTATCGAAGTATTGCTAGAAACGAAGAAGGGAAAAGGAGAAGGAGAAGGAGAAGAAGAGGAGGAGAAGAGAGAAACAAGAGACGTCAACGGAAAACCACCTGAAGCCATGGCGGCGTATGCTGACAACGTGCCAGCTGGCATCGCTGAGGGGGAGGTGAGAGAGAGGGAACTGGAAGGAGGGCCATCGGTGGGTGTGGAGAGGAGGAGGATCCCCTCTAGTCGATCAGGGTGGGCAGGTGCAGATGTTGGGAGCAGGAGGGGGCTGTATAAGGTGGAAAGAGGGGAGCGCAAACGTGCGGGCATGTTTATCTGTATTGAGCTCTTCTTCCGCTTCATGCAGATGGCCTCCGCTGCCATTGCCATCGCTGCCCTCGTCACTGCTGGTCAGGCCGGCTTCCATTTCCAGAACTATCAAGCCTTCTGCTACCTGCTGGCAGCGGCTACTGCAGCCGGGGCCTGGGCCACGGGGGGGTTCTTGATTGATCTGGGGAAGCTGTTGCCGGACTGGGCGGCTTTGCACATTGGCTTTCTGCTCGACTTGGTGAGCGTGCTGGGTTTTTTTTTTTTTTTTTTTTTCCTTGTTTAGAATGGAAAATCGTGTTGGGATGAGCCTGTTCGGTTCCTTTTTTTTTTTTTTTTTTCAATTGTTTAATTGTGCTGAGATGAACCCCTCGATCCCTTTTTTTTGGGGGGGGGCGCGGGGGGAGGGATGGGGGGATGAATGTCGGATCGGTCGGAGGTGGCTCGGTGAATTTTTAATAGCTTCGGTAAAAATTGTTGTTAGACTACATGGAGGTCCGTTACTGCAAAATTGTTTTCGCTGTTTACACGTCCGATACATTGAAAATGTTGGATCGGTCGGAATGCATCCAGTCCAGATTGCATTCCAGGTACATGCGGTTGGATCGGTCGGAATGCATCCAGTCCAGATTGCATTCTAGGTACATGCGTAGTCTGTGGTTTTACTATTTACTATTTTTGTATGATAATGAATCTATAAACTCACTGAAAGGATCCATAACTCCCGCCGCGAGAGGGGTGATTCGTAATCAACTTTGTTAACCCCCCCGCCCCAACCCGACCCCCCCTTTTCAACAACCGACGATCTCTTCACCCTTCCACCTTCCGCGCTCGATGGGCCTCGCACCACTACTTACCCCTTGCACAAACGACATTGCAGAAAAAAAAGAAAAAGAAAAAAAAAACATATGACCGTGTATCTGTCCATGCCCTAGGGGTCGATAAATTCTTCACCCTTCCACCTCCCGCGCTCGATGGGCCTCTCACCACTACTTACCCCTTGCACAAACGGCAGTTAAAAAAAAAAAAAAAAAAAACATGTGACCGTGTATCTGTCCATGCCCTAGGGGTCGATAAATTCTCATTTTGCACGTGGTGAGTAGCGGAGTGAGAGCCTAATATATCTCTTGATAGGGTTACTATACTGATCCCACATATTTAACCAGCCTTTATTTTTTCAATAAATTTATTTATTTGTTTGACTCCATACCTACTTCCGGATTATGGAGGTAATAAAGGGGTTGAGATCGTTAAATATATTAACGGAGTTGTTTAGATTTTCTGTTTTGTTCTTTTTCGAGTTCTGTCCAAATTTAGTGATGACATTGCCAAACTATTATTGCCAGGGATCAGCTCTTAATGCATGGATCAGCTCGGACAGAGCAGCAAATGTTATGGGGATTCAAAAGAAAAGAAGGGAATAAAAAGTTGTGGGGACGCTGGGCCCGTTTCATAGCCTGTAATTGAGTTGGCAGTTTGGAAAAAAAAAAAAAAAAAACAAGGCGTAGAACGTTAGTTGGGGGAGAAGAATGAACAAATGAGTATTGTTAAAATCAGCGGGAACCGTTAGGAGAGGTGGGCGAAGATAAAAGGGAAAAAGAGAGTAAACAAAGAAATATACAGGGGTGAAAAAAAAAAACACAAAAAATGGGAAAGGTACAGAGAAAACAGAGCGGGTATTATAACGGAACGGGCGGAAAGAGAGATCACCAGTTTTTTCTTTGTGAACGGGACGGAATAAATTAAGAGAAAAAAAAAAAACAATTCGTTTTTAGAGAACGCTGACGAAGTTCAGGTTGAATGAATATTATTCATTATCGGTAAATAGTAAAATAATATGAAAAAAGAAGTCAACATTAGAAGTCAAAACAGGTCAACAGCGTCAGAATAAAGTGACGAAGATTATCCATAATTAATAGTAATAATAAAATAAAAATGATATCCATGAGGTGAAAATCAGAAGTCAAAGCCGGTCAACAGCGTCAGAATAAAGTGACGAAGATTATTCATAATTAATTAATAGTAATAATTAAGTAAAAATGATATGCAAAAAGAAGTCAAAATAGGACTTTTATATGTGGCCGTTCTATTGGTTGTTTTCAATCGTTTATTTTCTGTAGACAATATTAATACGCCCAGTTCCATTTTTGTTAAGATTAAAAGCTAGTAGGTTAAAAAAAAAAAAAAAAAAAAAAAAAGGTCAAAACCGGTCAACAGCATCAGGACAAAGAAACGAAGTAAGATTTTCCGTAATAGTAATAATAGAATAAAAATGATATGCAAAAAGAGGTCTACATCAGAAGTCAAAACCGGTCAAAGGCGTCAGAATGAAGTGACGAAGATGATCCATAATTAATTAATTGTAATATCCAATAACACGCATGAAGTCATATACTCAATAGTCAAAATTGGTCAGTAGCGTCAGAATTTTGAGGGAAGATGACCGATGATAGTATTAATTACAGGCATTAAAAGGTCAAACTCGGGAAGTCAGAGTCAGAAGCGGGAGGGTTCCTGATGTCTTGTTGTCTTTTATAACAAAGTCAAAGTCGGAAATCAAAGTCAAACTCGGAAGTCAAAAGTCAAACTCGGATTTCCTGGTGTAAGATTCATAAAAAAAGTCAAACTCGGAAGTCAAAAGTCTAAACTCGGATTTCCTGGTGTGAGAAGTCAAACTCGGAAGTCAAAAGTCAAACTCGGATTTCCTGGTGT